TTTCCCCCTAATCTTCTACTTGTTAACCATGTATATTTATACATCTTTAACTATATGATGAGCCCAGATAATTAACGGTCAACCCTTGACTAGGGATACACGTGTATATTCAAGTTCCATGTTCCAAAATTCTAAAATCTCTGATCAAGATTTTAGAATAAGAATCATTGAAGACGTGTAGTTACATTAGGTCACCAATGGTGGGGTAAATTACTGTTTTCAGTTGAATATGTGAACTTTTAACCAAGCCAAAATTATAGGGAAAATGTTTATTGTAAGCATCTAATGTAGCATTTAATACCACAGGAACAAACACTAGGTGGTCTTAAAATATTAAACCAAAACACTCTATGAGTGGCTGGACCATCCATAATCTTTTGGGAAAGAAGTTGGCTTCAACTGGTCCATTAGATGGAACGTTTACTTTTATCAAAAATCAAAAGTACAACTGACCCATGTTTAGAACATGTTTGTATCTAACGTCCACTGAAGACGTAGGTTTGCTGCTATGAGGTACCAAGCACCGTTAACGCCGCTCCGGGCAGCAACTGTGGAACCAATGTTTCATTGTTGTGGATGTTTCGTCAACGGTTTTCGGTCCAGCTACTTAGAATAATCAATCTACTTCGCTTATACAAGCATCCTTCTCAACTCCTGCTCGGTCGAACCATGGTTACCTCTGGCCACATAGCTACTTCGCTTATACAAGCATCCTTCTCAACTCCCTGCTCGGTCGAACCATGGTTACCACTGGCCAAACAGCTACTTCGCTTACACAAGCATCCTTCTCAACTCGCTGCTCGGTCGAACCATGGTTACCTCTGGCCAAACAGCTACTGAGCATATACAAGCATCCTTCTCAACTCCCTGCTCGGTCGAACCATGGTTACCACTGGCCAAACAGCTACTTCGCTTATACAAGCATCCTTCTCAACTCCTGCTCGGTCGAACCATGGTTACCTCTGGCCACATAGCTACTTCGCTTATACAAGCATCCTTCTCAACTCCCTGCTCGGTCGAACCATGGTTACCTCTGGCCACATAGCTACTTTGCTTATACAAGCATCCTTCTCAACTCGCTGCTCGGTCGAACCATGGTTACCTCTGGCCAAACAGCTACTGAGCATATACAAGCATCCTTCTCAACTCCCTGCTCGGTCGAACCATGGTTACCACTGGTCACACAGCTACTGAGCATATACAAGCATCCTTCTCAACTTGCTGCTCGGTCGAACCATGGTTACCACTGGCCAAACAGCTACTTCGCTTATACAAGCATCCTTCTCAACTCCTGCTCGGTCGAACCATGGTTACCTCTGGCCACATAGCTACTTCGCTTATACAAGCATCCTTCTCAACTCCCTGCTCGGTCGAACCATGGTTACCTCTGGCCACATAGCTACTTTGCTTATACAAGCATCCTTCTCAACTCGCTGCTCGGTCGAACCATGGTTACCACTGGCCAAACAGCTACTTCGCTTATACAAGCATCCTTCTCAACTCGCTGCTCGGTCGAACCATGGTTACCACTGGCCAAACAGCTACTTCGCTTATACAAGCATCCTTCTCAACTCGCTGCTCGGTCGAACCATGGTTACCTCTGGCCACATAGCTACTTTGCTTATACAAGCATCCTTCTCAACTCGCTGCTCGGTCGAACCATGGTTACCACTGGCCAAACAGCTACTTCGCTTATACAAGCATCCTTCTCAACTCGCTGCTCGGTCGAACCATGGTTACCACTGGCCAAACAGCTACTTCGCTTATACAAGCATCCTTCTCAACTCCTGCTCGGTCGAACCATGGTTACCTCTGGCCACATAGCTACTTCGCTTATACAAGCATCCTTCTCAACTCCCTGCTCGGTCGAACCATGGTTACCTCTGGCCACATAGCTACTTTGCTTATACAAGCATCCTTCTCAACTCGCTGCTCGGTCGAACCATGGTTACCACTGGCCAAACAGCTACTTCGCTTATACAAGCATCCTTCTCAACTCGCTGCTCGGTCGAACCATGGTTACCACTGGTCACACAGCTACTGAGCATATACAATGACAAGTTAAGATACAGTTGTTGGTTCAAGATGTAAAGAGATTTAGCTCAGCACTGTTCAAGAATAAAAGAGACATTTTATGTATTAAATCAATTATCTGTGCTTAATTATCAGTAAAAATCTATTTAGTGTTAAATCAATTGTAATAAATACGATGTGTATTAAACTGAGTACACTTGAATAACCATTATTCATATTGAATGGCTCTGTACTCAAAGAACTGTAATCATCAGCTGCAAACTACTTACTAGTGCACTGAGTACAGTAATTTAATGTGATCATTCTCTGTTATGTAATGAACTTCGCATATACTATTTCCATGCATTAGCATACATCAAACATAGATAAATTAAATACTCATCTCCAACTACTACAATATGCGAGCTAAAATTTGTTTTAGACAGAAACCCACGGAGTAAAATAGTTTCCCAGTAAAAGAAATCTGGGGTTGTATTTTAAAACAATTTTTTAAGTGCCATCACACACTAAAGAGTAGCAATATTTGCTACTCTTTATTCTGAGGTTTCAGTTTGACACCTTACCAGAGCATTAACCAAGCAAGTGTTGCGTTCGTAAAATATTAATATTTTCGAACGCTCAATTCGTTTTTTGTGCTGTATTGTGGTATACTGTATTATGAAACCTGAGCAAGGAGATTGCTAAGGTCGTGTTAAAATATATTTTTGACAATAAAATAAACACAAAGGTAAATTTTTATTTTTCAAACATGACAAAATATCAATTTTTCAAACATAGTTTACATGACATGACTCTCTCCGATCAATAGCTACATACAATAATTCAATAATCTGAATATTTACTATTTTTACAAATATTTATCTCTTGTTACCTAACTGAAGTAGCATAACAAAGGTGAAGGGGAAATTCGAAAAGTAGTATGTGAAGGTTGCTGGTCATATAAGAACAAATATATCAGGGAAAAATTAATGTGACATGTTAAACGTGCAAAGTTAATTAAAAAAAATGTTTATTGACCATCCTTGAACGTTCACACATTTTAATTCAAAATACCACAAATTAAGAATATGATATTGAATACAAGTAAGTAGGTAGTTGTCTTCTTTTGACATAATTTGTTTTTGGTTTACCAACTGATCCACATGCTTTACAATGGCTTTACATAAAGAAAAGTGTAACGCCAGAAGGCAAGCTAAAAATATAATGTAGGTAACCGGAGTGGCGAAATATGAGTAATCGGGCACTTCTTTCTGCAGTATGACTAATGAGATAGTAGAATATAAGTCAGACAATAAAGCGCTATTTAATCTGACTTTAGAGTTAAATATGACGTCACGTTATCGCGACTGTCTTTGCCCTGCGCGTAGCCGATTGTTGAGACAGGAACGGGAAAATGACACGGACGCAGGGTTGAAAACCTCACGGAACTAAATTATGTTACTCTTGCAGTACGACAAACTATTTTTTGATACATTTTTGTATATTTTGGAACATAAAATATTATAGAAATATAAAAAATATATCAATCTGAAATTAGTTGTTTTAACGAGTCTAAAAATTTTTCTTTAGATTATACAAGTATACTGTAGTAGGTTATAAAGTTTTGAATCGTATTTACGTCCATTGATTTTGCACGACATAAATTGTAAAACTGTATAATTCAGTATAATTATAATTATTATTACATCGATCTTTCTTGCACATCATTGTTCTACTTTTTATAACGATATTTGTAAATATTTATTTTGACATCAATATTTATTGCAGATCAATTTCAACTTGTTGATAAAACAAAAATGATCTATTAAAATTAAATTATAACGGCACGACAGAAATTTTAAATAAACAATTAAAATCTTTAACTATACAACGCCTAGTATTTATTTTTTTACTCTTAATTTGTATTTCATACTGTATAAACAAAATCATCTGCATCTAAAACGCAACACAAGTATTTCAGGGACATTGGATTTACTTACAGACTTGTATTGTTTTTTTTTTCAAACAACCTTGTCAGTCTGTACGTCCCCTACTCCATCACTATAACAGCTGATCCTGGTGTATTGTTGTAAAGGGAGGGTCATTCAAGGTCATACTGCACCTTTCATCCCTTGATCTAGAATGTTCTTTTTGTAGAATACTCCAGCTGACAATTTTTCTTGAACTATTGAAGCATGAAGCACATGCAGTTTATGCGAAAAGAACCGGTATGGATCATAAACATAAACAAAAGTCGTTTTTGGTCAGAAAATTAACATTATTTAACATTGCTTAAATGGAACTGCAAAAACATATGTATAGAGACGCACGTTAGTTTGAATAAGATGTTGTGAGATGCTATCACATCAGAGTGCGGGCGGATTTTATGTAATTAGCGAAGAAAGTAATTTTTGAATGAAGAATAACTATAGTGAAACACTGGTGTTAAGTAGTTAAATGTAAGAAATGATTGCTTTGTCACTGATTAAGATCAGTGGTTCTATAGCCAGGACAAATTACCTCATAATAAAATGTGGCTTTTCAGTTTCGAACCTAAAAGCTATTTACTGACATTAAATATCCAACTGGCAACATTGTAATTACCAGTCGAGCACTATCACTCAGCTAATTATAAAAATAACTACCAATCAATAACATTAAAACCCCAAAAAAGTCCCAGTTTCATATTTAATTACACATTTACTTAATACGAAATATTCTAGATACTTAAATTCCAATTCTTGGAGTTCACCAACCTGTGGAAAATCTGTTTTACGAGCGCTTCGGAAAGTCAATAAAATGCAACGGTCAGTGCAATCAACAGCGAAATCACAGTTATTAACCGATTTCCAGTAAATACAAAGAGTCAACAAACTCGGTTATTGCAGATAGCGATCCGTGACTAACAAAGTACACTTGGGTGAGTAATGTTAATGTTGATAAGCAGGGTATTTCAAGTTTGCGAGGTTGGTAGTGGCGCAGTGTTGGTCGCGGCTAGACGCTCTGTCTGACCATTGTACGTTTGATCGTGCTCCCGTCGAGAGATCCCAGTGCTGTAAAGATGAGGGAAATCGTACATCTTCAGGCCGGCCAGTGCGGAAACCAGATTGGAGCTAAGGTAAGGTTTTTTAATGTTTAAATTCTATTGTATTTTTGGATAAAATTAATTTTCAACAAACGAGGTTTTGACGATTTTACGTAAATGATATGATAAGCAAACTAAGTGTATTTCTTATCACGCAATTTGCCTACAACGGGTCACAACGAGTTTTGAATTCAAATCCCAACGGTCCTGCAAAATTGTTCCGCAGTCTGAGATTGATTTGCGAAAATATTGCTGCTTATTGTATTTTTGACGTAATGCCTTACAAATTTATTTATTTTTTTACTATATATAAAATAGTCCAACCATTTATTTTAAACCGTTTAGCATAGTTTTTTATTTTAAGCATATTTAAAACATGAAATGTTTTGTGTAGCAAATTTTGGAAATAATAATATTCGGGTGGTTGTAGATTAACATTATGTCGTACAAAATCCTAGTATGCCTACAAACCAATCACTTTCCTGTTTACAGTTTCCAAACCAACACTATATATACCTACTATAGATAGAATTAACAATTTTACTATAAGAAGAAACGTTAGTAACCTAATTATATTTTATAGGCAATAGATTAAATAAAAAATAAATCAAATATAAAAAAAAACTTTAATAAACAATGTTCGTTTAGTGTTCATAAAAATATTACACAAGATTATCTAAATTTAATACCGTAATGATTGTAAAAGTTTTTTTCACGATTTTTTATATTTTATATTTAACTTCTTAGATTTTTTATTTGATAGTATTTCATTGTAACACAGGTATCAATCTGTAATCGCACAAAGTTTAATTTTCACAATGTTAATTAGATAATAAATACCTTGTTTCTGAACATAAATAATATGTACAGTAGGCATTTGTATGTGTTCTTTGCACTGTTCTTTATATTGATGAGCGTATTTTTCCTTTTATAAGAAAAAAATTTAAAAATAAAAATCAGGTGACAAAAATCTGTAAAATTAAATTATTTTTTTAAGTAGCTCATGACACGTTTATGGATTTTATACCTAAATGTCTACATGTTAGCTGTTGTCAACATTTTCCACTTTTAATATTTCTTAATTTATTATATTATGGTTTAGGCCTACATACGATCCCATTTTTGAACACGAATAAACTATTTTAAAACATTTTGTAAGTACTTCTATTTTAGAATTTTTGAGCAGTCAAATTATGTAACAAAATTTTTAACTATAATTAATTAATTTATTAACTATATAATTTTTAACTACGGTATAGGCTATGTTTGTTCGTTCCACAGTTAATGTTTTTGCAAGCCATATAAACAAAATAGATCATTTTAAATTAATACGAGTGTAAAAAGGAATCTTAAGTTCGTAACACATATTTTATTCTTTAAACTTTATATACCGTAGTCGTATATACGTCATGTACTGTATTAGTTTCAGTTAAAAAACATTTAAAAATAAATATCAGTTTCCAAATCTAGTATACCTAAATAATATGTTAAATTTTTATTATAAACAAATTTTGTTGTATTATAAATTTTTACACATTCGACTGTGTTATAATTAAACGACTGTTCATAGACGAGAGTGAAATAAGAATACTTTTAAAATATGTAACAACATCGATATTACAAGTAACTTAGATAGGTACATAATACACTTCAATATACTGCACAGCTAATAAATAGTCCTCTATTTTTATACATAATTGATATTTAGACTGGTTTTTAATTTAACCAATATACCTCTTAGGCCTGCATATTAAAACCTTTAAAAAATAAATAATACTTTAAACACTTTTTGTTTAATGATTTTTTTCAATAGAAAATTTTTTATTTAATAATTTCTATACTAATTGTTTAAACTAAATGTCTACTCGGGTAGTAAAAATCCATTATACTTGCATTGTTTAGTTTATTTCTGTGTAGACTTGTGTAAAATAAACCACTAAAATATTGACATACAGGTTTGAACACCGATTGTTTGTTTTACAATATTGAAGTTAACAAAAATGTTAAATTATTCAAGTCCCCTCATAGAATTAATTTTACTGAATAACTTCTTGACCAGCATCTTACGTGTTATTAAATTACATAACAAAAAATATACGTCTAATAACACTAGTAATAATATTTACACTTATACTGTTGAATCACAAGACGGTAAGGTAAATACATATGAAAGATGTATTTAAGATGACCACTTACTATCTTTCATATGTATTTACCGTCTTGTGATTCAACAGTATAAGTGTAAATATATTATTACTAGTGTTATTAGACGTATAATTTGTTAATTTTAATTAAAACAGATTTTTATTATTAAAATATTAGAATTGACAACCGAACTAACAAAAAAGTGATTTGTGGAATAATACAGTAATTTGTTTAACGTTTTTAAAATCGGATCCCAAAACTCATGAACAAAACTATCAAACGAGCTATGTCTGTTTATCAGTCTGTCAGTAATATACATCTCGAAATCCAGCTGGAGGATTTTGACTAAATTTTGTATTTCGCTACACAACTCATTTGAAAATAAAAAAAACTCTATGGGTTGCGAAGTAACTATGTTGGTTGAAAAATATAGTATGGAAAAAGTAATGAAAATACTAGTAACCAGTGTTTTTAAGAAGCCATCCACAGTATATTAGCAAACTACTAAATATAGTACAAAGGGGACAGTTGTAACTATTGAGCAAAGATTACACTAAAGATTACTCGATATAGGGGGAAATAGTTCTGATCAAATGCTGATTATTTTACTTGGCTCTCTCCCTCCTAAACGTAATCCTCGAGGTACTAAGGCCATTTATTGTTAGCAAAGTTTGGGTTAGGAGTGAAATAAATGATAAAAAATATTATATTTATTTCATGAAAATTATAATTTAAACAACCATTTAGGCTACAATCACCTATGCAAAATTAAGTGTTTAAGGTTCTTTAGAAAATAATAATGGAAATTATTTAAAAAGACAGAGGTAGGTCAGACACCTCCGCAAAACTTATTGTTTGTAAAAAATGACGTTGTATGAAATATAAATTACCAACAATTCTAACTGATTGTCCTATAGTTTATCGTTTATCCTACAGGTTTAGGGGCTACAGTTTATAAAAATAAGCACGCCAAATCGGGTAAACACACCGTAGTTTTATGTCTAATATTTTCAAAATGTACAATAACAAAAGTCATTTTAACATTTTAAACTTGTAGCATATTCTATACAGACAAAAACTGAAATCTATGAAAATCCGGCGTAACTTTGAAGAGATAGTGAGAGATACCGTGTTTTCGAGTCAGTTAAAGGGCAGGGTTATCAGAGTCCAGCGAAGGGAAGGGCGGTATCAGTGACCGGAAGTGGTGGTGTTGTGGACGGAAGGAAGTGATAAGGTTTCCACCAGCTTGCCGCCGCCACTGCCACATGGATCACGTCACCGTCCCCGAGTTGTAGGGGTTCACCAGGCCCGGGTGTGCTCTATGTGCTGGACGTGAGTAATGGTGTTTTGGAAGTCGACGATTTATTCGTCAGAAAGGAAACATTGTGGTTAGGCGAGGGTGTTACTAAACAGATAAGCAGACGTCTGACAAAACAGAAAAACATTGTGGGCGATCAGCTTTTTTTACTCAGCACTAAATTTACCAATTCTTTATCATTAACTTTACTTTTTTTAACCAACGCCCCTCAAAGCACTCAAAGAGTATATTGCATGATGGCTATGAATGCAGCAACGCGTGGAATGTTGTGAGATGTTTTGTAGCTTTACTGACTATCTTTGTTGATAACTTTCTTTAAAAAAAAAAAAAAAACGAATTGCAGCGTGTTCATTTAGAAAAGTCTAAATGACTTGCACACCAACGTCTTCAATCAATCCAAAACTACTGATTTTTCTCAGAGTCTGTGTAGGTACTATTAATTGGTGTTCAAGAGTTCAAAGGTTCAAGTGAGCAATTAGCACTGTGACAACACATGTTGATGCTGCCGAGTTTTATTATTGTTGGAATACTAACCTTAAACAATGTTGATTTTTTCACGATATATAAAATAGGCCATGCAATAAAGAGTATACCCCATAAGTAAAAACCTGTAAATTCAGAAAATACTAGTCCCAATAACAATCAGTTACCAAATTCAATCACTTTGTGACAATTTAAATTTTTTATGTCAGGCAATTTGTCATAGTAGAGCGGTTTCTTTAATTGCCTAAAATGATAAATAGGACCTATTTGTTGCGGCTTCTAACACTTTCCTAACCGGTTAAATTGTCGAGACTTTGTGCCATGTTACCGTTATAGAAGTACCTAATGAGAACTCCTATTGGAGTCCCCCAGGGAGCTATTCTAGGCTATAATTTACCCAACAAGCTATTCAAAACCGCTTTGCTCCTCAGGTGACAAGCTGGACACGATTCTCTATATCAATTACCCTAGACGGTAGCTAGGTTTCAATTGCGATGCCACTGGTGTAGTGGACTCCAGACTTCGGACCCTAGAAGGCACTCAGTCTCCTTGACACCTGATGGTAATAATTGTAACATCTGTCTCTGTCCGCTCACCACTTCAAGCCACACACGCTCGCTGTTGATAACCAACTGGTCAGCACATCTCCGTATATGCGTTGATGGACCATGGATACTGATTTGGCATCGCGTAGGCCTATATGGGGCTTCACTGCAGATTTGGCTTTGCTAATTATAGTGTGAACCAGGAAAGTGTGAAATTATAATCTATGTTTTGCCTCTTGCGCTAGTTTATTGGAAGACCAAATAAAGTAGCATGTGTAGTTTAGAGTCGGTAGTACCCATCTATACATCAATATGGTAGTATCACAATGTTCAAGTTCACAAAGTTTTTCAAAGCCTATTTTACGGTGGGCATTAAACATCTCACGTTTTGCTCGCAAGCCCATTTTCTCCTCGTCTCCGGGCACATGTAGAGCATTGACACTCCATCTTCAGAGGTGTCTAGACTTCAATTCCACCACGCAGGCACGTCGCCGCCTCCATCGCCGGTACGTAGCACGTAGTCGTCGGCCCGGCACGTACCT